AGGGAAGGGGTGTGACTTGTGTCTGGGTAGCCCTGGCTGGATGTGGGGTCCCAGGAAGCACCACCTTCAGTGCAGGTATTCAGCTGCCGACAGGAGCTTACGTCACAAGGCCAGCCAGCCGAGGCTTTCTCTTCACAAGCAAAGTGTCAGAAACGAAACCCACACCCTCACGCACCATTACCCCCCTCCACTGGGATCCTCCATCCTGGGCTCACTGTCCATTCCACCATGGCCCTCCACCGCCGGGCCCTGCAACAGCTTGAAGGCTCCCACTCCCAGGCCGAGCTGGCTGGAGACGCCACATCCTCGTCATGCTCCTTGGCTGTTACTTATGCCTTTCACACTCTCCTCAAACTTCCTCCCCAAGCTTCACCCTCCTCGCTGCCTGCAGATAACTCTCACTGCAGAAGGACAGGAACCTCCAATGAGGCCTTCAGTACCTAACCCTGCCCCACACTTCCACAACACTCTCGTCATCACCGAGGACAAGGCACTCCTCAGCCCTTCCAGGACTTGGGACCTCTCACTCTGGAGCTTCAGTTCCAATCTCCCTCAGGAAGCAGCAACCTCTCCCTCTGGTAGATCTCCAAATTCTACAAACACGCTCTACCAAGATGACTGGTTGCACCTACCAAGATCACGTTTTCTTCTTCCCACCCCCATTTCTCAAACACACACACACACACGAACACCTTGTTGGTTTTGTTTCTCTAGAAAACCCCAATACAGATTTTGTTAGCAAGAAGTGGGGTGCTACTGAAACAAACACCTAAATACATGCAAGCAGCTTCAGAATCGAGTCATATGCAGAGGCTGGAATCATTTTAAGGAGCTTGCTAGAAATACGGACATCAGGGTGATTCTGATGAGTCTCAGGTGGAACTGAGGAGCATGTTATTGGAAACCGGGGGAAAGGCCATCCTTGTTAGAAAGTGGCAAAGAACTTTAAAGAACTTGGCTGGACTGTGTTCCAGTGTTTTACAGAAGGCCAGACAAAGGTGACGAAACTGAATATTTAGCTGAGGAGAGATTTCTTTTCTTTTGTTTTCTTTCTTTACTTTTCCTTTTCTTTTTTTTTTCTTTTCCTTTTTTTTTTTTTTTTTTTTTTTCAGACAAGGTCTCACTTTGTTGCCCAGGCTGGAGCACAGTGGCACAATCTTGGCTCACTGCACCCTCCACCTCCCGGGTTCAAGCAATTCTCCTGCCTCAGCCTCCCAAGTAGCTGGGATTACAGGTATACACCACCACACCTGGCTAATTTTGTACTTTTAGTAGAGATGGGGTTTCTCCATGTTGGCCAGGCTGGTCTCAAACTCCTGACCTCAGGTGATCTGCCTGCCTCAGCCTCCTAAAGTGCTGGGATTACAGGAATGAGCCACGGCACCCAGCCTAGCTGAAGAGATTTCTAAGCAAAGTGTTGAAGGGACACCTTGGTTCCTCCTGGTTGCTTGTCATAAAACGTGAGAGAGATGAATTGATGAAGGAATTATTAAGCAAAACAGAATCAGAACTTGAAGATTTGGAAAATTCTCAGTCTATCCATACTGCAAAAATATGAAAAAGCATGTTCTGAAGACAACACTAAGGTTGTGACTGAACAATTGTTTGATAATCATGGTACAGCTCATTAATCAGCCATCTCAGAGGAAGGGGGTGGAACAGTGTTGGGTTGTCAGACTTCTGGATTCCATAGGACCAACCCACAGAGCTGTTGGGCTGCAAACATGCACCACTCTCCAAAGAAGGGAAGGAATGACCCCTAAGGTGCTACAGAGAGCATCAGAGCCACCACTTCCACCCCAGGCCCAAGGGACGAGACCACTTCTTCCTGTTTCAAAGATGGCCTCCCTGGTCTTGCAGGCCTGTAAAGTGGGCTGCCCTTGCAGAGAGAAACCAGGTGAGGGTGGCCTCGCCAAGTCATGGCGGTGACACTGCCACCCCAGGGGCCCGGGGCCACAGCACCAACCAAAGAGGGTCATTCTCGAGCCCTAGGATCTGATGGAAATTGTCTTGCTAGGTTTTGGGCTTGCTCGAGACCTGTGATCCCTTCCTTCTACTTCTCCCTTTTGAAATGGGGGTGTCTATCCCAGGCCTGGCCCATCTTTTACTCTGGATGCACATCACACGTTCTACGTCTCCCTTTTGAAACGGGGGTGTCTACCCCAGGCCTGACCCATCTTTTTACTCTGGATGCACATCACACGTTCGGTTTCACAGGCTCACAGCCAGACAGGGAATTTTGCCTCAGGGTGAATCATAGCTCGAGTCTCACCCACGGCTGATTTAGGTGATATTTAAATAAGATTCTAGACTATAAAGCATCTAAAGATGAGTTAAGACTTTGGGGGCTGCTGGGGTGGAATGTATTTTCTATGTGTATTTTGAGGGGCCAGAAGCAGAATGCTATGGACTGAATTGTGTCTCCCCAAATTCCTGTGTTGAAGCTCTAATCCCCAATGTGACTGTTGTGGGACATGTGACCTTTACAGAAGCCATTCAGGTCAAATGAGGCCATAGGATGAAGCCCTGATCCAGCAGGATTAGTGCCCTTACAAGAGGAAACGCAAGAGCACTCCCTTTCTCTCTCCTGCCAAGTAAGGGCACAGGGAGAAGGTGCCTGTCTGCCAGCCAGGAAGAGCAGCCTCAGCAGGAACTGAGGCCAGCACCTTGGTCTTGGTCATCCCAGCCTCCAGAGTTGTGAGAAATAAATTCCTGCTGTTTAAGCTGCCTAGTCTGTGGTATTGTTACGGCAGCCTGAACCAAGACAGAGACTCCATAAGCAGACAAGAACATCAGTAAATATCCAACTAGGTGAACAACACAAGTAGTAAACTGGATCTAAATTACGTATTTGGAGCCCTGCACTCAACAACAGAATACACTTTCTTCTCAAGTGCACACGAATAGCGGACGTGTACCGACTCATAAAACAAGTTTCAACAAATTTCAAGGGATTAGCATTCCTCAATTTGTTTTCTGGCCACAGTGGAATTAAGCCAGAGATCAATAAGAAAAAGTAACTAAAAAATCCCACCTTTCAAAATTAAGCCACATGCTTACTTCTAAAAAGCCCATGGCACACCAGAAGAAATTGTCACAGAAATCCGAAAACGTTTGAAACTGAGTGATGCTGAAAATATATCAAAATTCATTGTTGCATCTAAAGCAATTTTAAAGAAAATTAAGAGTTCTGATCTATGTATTAGAAAGAAGAAAGGTTGAAATCAACGATTTAAGCTTCTATCTCTAGGGGGAAAAAAATAAAGTTTAACCCCTCTCCTCACATGAACAACAGAAATCAATTCCAGGTGGAGTATATGATCTAAGTGCAAGAGAAAACAATACAAGCTATAAAAGAAAATATAATTTCAAATTGGACAATATAACATTTAAGAACTTCTACTTATCAAAATACTCCTATTAAGAGCACAAAAAACCACAGAGGCTGGGCATGATGGCTCACACCTGTAATCCCAGCACTTTGGGAGGCCGAGACAGGTGGATCACCTGAGGTCAAGAGTTCGAGACCAGCCTGACCAACATGGTAAAACCCCATCTCTGCTAAAAATACAAAAATCAGCTGGGCATGGTGGTAGGCGCCTGTAATCCCAGCTACTCGGGAGGGTTGAGGCAGGAGAATCGCTTGAACCCTGGAGGTGGAGGTTGCAGTGAGCCGAGATCGTGCCATTACACTCCAGCCTGGCGATGGAGCGAGCCTCTGTCTCAAAAAAAAAAAAGCCACTGAAAGGAAAAAGATATTCACAAAAATATGTGTTACAGGACTCAGCCAGACTATATCAGGAATACCTGGAATCTCAATTAGAACTAGAAAAAAAAAAAAAACCCTAATAGTAAAATGGGCCAAAGACTTAAATAAGCACCTCAAAAACAGGATATCCAAATGAGCAGCAAATCTACAAAACTGGATTCGTCATCAGTGAAATATATACCAAATCCACACGCCCACCAGAGCAGGTAAAATGCAAAACACAACACTGGGTGTTGATGAGGATGCCAACTCTCATGCACAGCTGGCAGCGATGTTAGATTCCTTGACTTGAAAAGCTGGTATACAGTGTACCTCCAACAGAAATGTGTACATACATGCACCAAAACACATACACAGAAATGTCCACAGTCTCAGTAATCATAATAGCTAAACCCTGGCAACAACCCAAAAGGACACCATGTGAAATAAGATTCATAAACTGTGGTCTATTCACGCAGTTGAATACTTATGCCACAGTGAAAAAGTAAGCCACAAGCACACTGTCTGAAACTCATAGATGAGTCTCACAATGTTTAATTAAAGACGGCAGACGCAAAAGAACATGTGTACAATTCCATTCAGGCAAGAGTAATCGACAGTTACAAGTCAGGACGCCACCCTCGAGAGGGTGGGCACTGAGCGGAAGGGGAATCGGGGAGTCAGTAGCGTGTCCTGGACTGGATGCTGGTTACATGTGCATCCACTTTATAAAATGCCATCATCTAGGTACCCACGACCAGCGCTGTTTTCAATATATATTTGATATTTCAGTTTTGTTTTTTGGGTTTTGAGACAGGGTCTTGCTCTGTCACTCAGGCTGGGGTACGGCAGTGCAATCCTAGATCACTGCAGCCTCAACCACCTAGGCTCAAGTGATCCTCCCACCTCAGCCTCCCGAGTAGCGGGGACTACAAGCACATGCCACCACGCCCAGCTAATTTTTGTATTTTGTAGAGATAGGATCTCACTATGTTGCCCAGGGTGGTCTTGAACTCCTGAGCTCAAGGAATCATCCCACCTTAACCTCTCAAAATGTTGGGATTACAGAGGTGAGCCACTGCACTCAGCCTATATTTCAATAAAATTTAATAAAAATCAAAACACACAAAAAATTGTATCTACTGATATGGAAGTTTTTTTCACAATACTGAGAAAAGGTTACAAAGCAATGTATATAGTATGATCCTGTAATTACAAAAAATAACATATATGCGTAAAACAGGATACACAATGACATTCACTCATTTAAAAATATTTATTGAGCATGTGCAATGCGCCAACACATAATTTATTTGGAAGACGTCTACAAAACTATCCCATGCAGAGTCCCATCGCGTGCATCGCCACCTCAGCTCCCGCGCTGAGCCAGGGCGGTGTTCCCTACACGGCACTGGCACAGCCCTGTGCAATCCTACATCCCACACGAGTGGATGAGCGATGGCAGTAAGGGCACCACTAACACAGGAGGCGGGAACAGTCACTGTCACAGGGTACACAGGCTGATATGCGGGCGTTCTAGGAGTGTGGACCTAGACCTAGCTTAGGAACATGGAGCTCTGACCTAGCCACGGGTCAGCACTGTGGACATCACGGGTGAACACCTAGAAACACAGCCTACTTCTAGAGGGCAGACACTGGGCAGCGGGGGTGGCCACGGCAGCTCCTGCCGAGCCCAAGCGTGTTTGTCTGTGAAGGGCCCTGACGTCACCTGCCAGGCTGGGGAGGGGTCAATGTGGCGTGAACGTTCACCGATTTTGCAGGAGTGTGCAGCAGCCAGGTGCATCTTGGGTTGCTTGTGTTCGTCACCCCTCAGGATACGCACACTGCTTTCCAAATAAAGCCTCAACTGTCATCTCCAGATTGGGAACACTTTTTCTCCAACCTGAAACAGATAAATGACAACAGGTCAGTCAGATAATAAATCATTTGATTAACACACTACATTTCCTAATGGTTTGATATTGGACAAGAGAGCAATATTCAGGTGCAGAATTTTCTTAAATGACAAACTTTTAACAAAAAATTATCACAAAGCAAAGCACAAAACAAATATAAAAAATGAAGGAAAACAATTTATTTTTATTTTCTTTGCCACATTAATCCTGAGTCCAAAGAACATCATTCCATTTTCAGCAGCCTCCGAGACAGGAAGCCCAAGTGAGCTGGGCGAGCTACACATGAATTCATGCACGGACCCAAAGGCTGCCAGTCAGAACACACATCACGGACAACACACCTAGATGAACTGCTGCCTGGGAAGCCACAGAGGCCTGTGTAAAGGGAGCACCGAGGCACAGCTCAGGCTTCTGCCCATCTGGGGACCCCTCTGGACGTGGCACGAGGGGCCTCAGGCTGATGTGGGTCTCTGCTCTCCCTCACTTACTGTGTCACCTGAGGAAATGACTTCCCTGCCAGAGCCCTCCACTTCCTGTGCTGTCAGATGGGAAATGAAGCCAGTAACAGCATGCACTTTCTGTGTATTAAATCACTCGTGCACAAAACGCGTGGGCCCCAGCGTGGGCCAGCATCTGCCATCACTACCACCACCCAGGCCTGTCTCCCTGAGGACCGGCACCCACAGGACAGAATCTTACAAATACATATCTTACTTTTTGAGATGTGGGGTCTTGCCTGGAAGTGACAGCCCAGCTCAGAGCCACCGACATGTGCCTTCTCCACACTGGGTTTCTCTGCAACACAACTGAACCTGTGACCACGTCTCCAGTATGGACAGGGACTGGGTCGTCCATCATAAACAGCGTCTGCTTCCAGTGTGTGATGCTGCAAGACAGGGGTGTGTGTGACCTGGAGGCTGGGCGAGGGCAGTCTCCA